AAAAAGAAATAACAATACATAAAAAAGAATATATAAATTAATAGCGTGTATAGGATATTACATCAAGATTTATCATATCAGGATATATTATATCAAGTTATATAATTACATTAAGATATATTATATCAGGATATAGTATATTAAGATATATTGTGTCATGATATATTATATCAGGATATAGTATATTAAGATATATTATGTCATGATATATTATATAGTTATAGTTACATCAAGATATACTATGTCAAGGTTATAGTTACATCAAGATCACATCAAGATCAATTTGCAATTTCCTTCTGAAACATTTGTTTGTAGTATTGATATTTTTCAAGATACTGGAGCATTGCGCTTTAAAAGGGTCACACTGTATATCTAGCGTCTACCCAAAGGATGCAACGGTCCTTTGGGACGGAACAGAAGCAATCTGGGAAGGTATGGATATCTAAAAATTCGTCATACAGACGGTACGTGAGTTCAGCATCAAAAGGTTGTTCATGATAGCTAAGCTGACATCTACGATGGAGAGTGAGTAGCAGGATGAGAGTGGATGAAAGAGCAAACCTTATGAGCATCGATGAGTCATTCATCGTCACGTACAACCAGCATTAAGCGCAGGTGGCTTTCCAAGCCATCTTCCGCAAGCCAGTTCCTCCATGACCAGCTGTATTTTCAAACAACATTCCCACCGTTGTTAAACATTTCTGTACACAATAGGGTATTAATTGCAATACCGACGTCGCACTTATAGTGATCGAGATTCTGCCGAGTTCGATATATCTAAACGAACTTCGTTCTATATCGACTTATATACCTAACAATTAACATATATATATATATAGTTAAACATTAGTGCAACTTCAGTTTGTCCACTTTATTTCAGATGAATTTTATTCATCGATGCTTTTAAATTCTTTCAATCTCTTTACTGTTTTATAGACATTTAAATTAATTGATTTTTATTATAGGTGAAATCAGTTATAATAAATTTTTGATATAAATTTAAATTATAGTGAATTTTAATAGAATTTTAAATATAAATTTTGATTGTTAACAGAATTTGAAATATAAGTTCTAATTTATAATAGATTTTTAATACAAATTGAAATTGTTTGGGATCCTGAAATTGGCAAGGAATATTTTTATTCTGCATAAAAACTAAAATTGTACTAATCAGTTACAGGTTCAATCAATAAGTAAACTCACTGGAATATTAGAATTCGACCATTTTCATTTCATTGATCCGAAACATTGATCGAATAAACTTTTATTCGAAAAATGGCTAACTCCGAATGATATAATACAATACGTATTCTCTTCCCAAAGTTCACTTTGTACGATATGACCTGAACGAAGTGTGTCGGAACACGGAATATCACGCGAGAGTAATAGAGTAATTGCACATGATTGATGGTGCACAATGTGTGCGTGTTTCCTTGGACAATGAAAATAACAAGGAGAGAGCGATAAAAGAGAAAGTTACATACATGCGATCGGACGGATAGTTCGATTTCATTAAAATTGCTAGAATTCCTCTGAAAAATTAATATGGCACACTTTAGTTTCTTCGATTCGAGTATATGAGTGTTAGTGACAGGAACGCATTTTTCTACGTGAAAAATTAAGGAAGATGTATTTGATTTATACAGGGTGTGTCATTTAACCCTTTCACGTTAATTTTCCTTGCAAACTACATGCTGTATGAAAGAATATTTCAAATAAAATTTGTTTGCTATAAAGAGGAGCAAGAAAGCAACAATTCCTTTTTTTACTATTTTCCTTTTTCTATCAAAAATTTTGATTAATATTTTCATTTTGAATAGATTCGAACGAATGAAACTGATTTTAACGTAAAGTTTAGTGTTTCTGAAAGCAGAGCATACTTTTTGGTACTTTTTAAAAAGAACAGTATGTTTGAACATTATATTTTTTTTACAACATTAAAAGCTATGTTGAGAAGGTTGATCTAAGCGGCGAACCAGAAATCGATTTAACAGTTATTAAAATGTTTTAATTTATACAGTTTCTAAATTGAAGTTTTAAAGTTTCTAGAATTATTAAACAGGTTTTGTCTTCGCCGTTCTGCTCCATTTACTATTCTCCTTGACAAATTCTTAGTTTACCCAGTACCATTTATGTGTGCCACTGTTGCCACGATGATGAAGAGTTCCCCAGAATTACGAACTTCATCAAGAAATTATTGAGTTTTATAGATACAAGTTTACCACAGAGTAGTGAAGCCAATTACTGTGCCTTTAGTTTATTTTCATACACAATTAACTTTAAATTTCTCGAGTAAGACATATTAAATTTTTGTATATATATTCACACAAATTCAATTAATTATTTATTTATTGAACTCGAACATGAAGAAAACAGAAATTCTTAAAATACCACAAAATTCTTTGCAATTTTTTGATACTAAAAGTTGTTTTTAGTAGCGAAAACTTCTAAAGTCCGCCAACAGGACACAGTAATTGACTCCTCTATCCTGGCGTGCGATTGTTTTGCTTATCAAAGGTACGTTTGTGCACGCTGCGTAGTTAATCCAAATGAGCTCGCTTTTGGTACAAATCCTTTGATGTACTCGTACATTGTTGGATACATGGGAAAATCTCACAGAAGACAATTTTGCACTGAAAATTCATCCTTTTCCAAATCACAGTTACCTCTTTATAAATTAACTTTTTTGCAAAATAAATGCTCCTATTCGTAATTATTTGTAATAAAATTCATATTAAATTTTAAACTTAATATTTTGTAAATGATTATTGAAGATTTATAAAAATTAATTACGTGTCATGAAGTTTGAATTACTTTAAGGATATATATATATAAGTATCTAAAATCATATCAAATTAAAAAATTAAATAATATTATGTAAATAATTATTGAAGATTAATGAAGATTACTTATTTGAAATGAAGTTTGTATTATTTTATGAATAACTATATAAAATCATGTTAAATATAAAAATTTAGAAAAATACGGCCAATTTTAATGTGTCAAACGTTTAATTTGATTCGCGAAAGGATGAGTAAAACCTGCAGAAAGATCTACATAAAATGATTTAGTTTCGGTGCAAAACCTGTAATACTGTCTTCTCGAAGATTTTTCACTGCAAAAACTGTGTCACTAGATCTTGTCGAGAGTATTTGGCCGATGTAGCTAATCCGAAGATAATTTCCTGCAGTTAAAATTGCAACGTGATGGAAATTGCAACAGTTTTCCTATTTACGCCAGTTGTACCGTGCACTTGCGATCAGTCGATGCAAGATTGTCTCTAACAGTACATGTATAGGGTGTCTTCAGATTTGCGATCAATCATTCTTTACGTATTCTGGAGAATACGTTAGTATTCAACAAGTACAATTAATAACCGTTATTGACCCTATTTTGGTTTACAAGACTCGTCAAATTTTTGTTTAATTTATGATTAAATTTGTATTTGTTATGTTTTATTATTAATAATTTCTATTACGTTATATTACAGTACATTACATTATGTTACATTACATTACGTTACATTATATTATATCTTGTAAAGATACACTTATGAAAAATATATTATTGTTACTGTTAGGAAGTAACGATTTAGAACAGGCGTCGGCAATCTTTTTTGGTTGCAGGTTAAAATCGAACAAAATGTGACAATTAAGCAGACGTTTCGGGCCAGTGGCGTCTTCATTTTAAAACAGTATTTTAATTAATAATACGACCAATTTTATCGGAAAAATAATAACAATATACTTTGAAACATCAAACATAAAAATTCAATACTATAATTCTAATTATTATGAAAACAAATGTCACAGCAATAAAAAGGTTGCAATTGGTTAAAATCGTAGAGAAAGAATTAAACGATCGTTTTCCACGAGCTTTTTTATCCGAGCCTGTACCAAGAGTTAAACGAACGAATTTTGCACGATAGCTTTTCCGGTCTATAAAACTAATGAAACGTTTCAAACAGAACCTAATGGTTTCCTCGACAGCCACATCAATTTCTCGAAACCGAGAGGCAGTTACATTTTGAGTGAATTAAATAACAGAGATCGCTTTAGCCGGTTAGATTAGGCAAGTGTTTTATTGCGCTTTAATGTGCGTTGTCGTGCACGTTAATGCACCATGAGACCTTACGCAATACAAGAGCTCGGACCTGTAGATTTGTTTCTGCCCAACTAACGGGTCCCTGCGCAACGCTCCAACGGAGTGTGCATGCGAAACTTCCGTATTATGTTTACAGACGCGCTCGTTGGAAAGGAAGCCCTAATTTCCATTCTAGTTCATCCACGTTTTACTTTTACGCGTTTTTTTCAAGAAGATGCCAGGTACAAAAGTGGAAACTTTCCTCGACGTTTGAATTCTTTATTTTCTCGATTTGTATTTACATTATTAATTTCTGTTAAAGATAAACAGTTGTGAATCTTAAATAAAAAATTGCGAAATCTTTCCGCATTATATTCACTGTTTAGTTAAATAATGGTCTAAAAAATTATGTTAATATTATTAATAATTATATATATATAATATTAATAATTTTATATATATGTATAATTATTATTCTCCTTTATTATACTATAATTTTTTTGTAAAACATAATTAACTTTTTACTACGTCTGGACAAGTATCTTGTAAACAACAATAAAAATACACTTTTCGTTATCATTCTTTTAATGTTATTTTAATTATTGCAATTATCGTTTGCTTGCTAAATTTATGAAAGGCACACTTCCAAAAATGCCGGGATTGTTCGAATAAAGAATCATCCGAATAAAGAATTATTAGATTAAATAGATAGAATAATTTATGACGCATAATGAATTATTCAAAGAAAATATTCGAAATAGAAACACTGCTTTTTACACCGACTGTACACGGTCTACAATTATGGTCTTATGGTGTGATTGAAAGGTGCCGAATAGTAACCTGTATAACCTTTGCAATCGTATTCACACGCCGATTGCGTGATAAAGTCATCGCGTGCCACTATATCCTATCCTTACCTTAATACTCATGCGAATGGAATGATGGGAAATGGTGCAATTGCATCCTGCAAGTGCATCGTTGTGTTTCCGGGAATAACATGGGAGTTCAGGCCTCCTCAAACTCGATTTTTTCCCGTCTCATTTTCTTCGATCTGAAACCAAACGAATAGAAATTCTAGGGTAACCGTGCGTGTGATAATTCAACAATTTAAATAAGCTCTAAATTTATGCGAATATCAATATCAATAGACCATTTTATCGAAGGTTCTAATGAATTCTTTTTATCAATTAAATGATCGACTAAATTCCCGGCGTCGGAAGTCACATTGTAAAAATAATGAATACAGAACAATTGTTTACTCTTCGAAAATGTATTAGTAATATATCTATTTCTTAGTAATATAGCGTATTATTAATAATATAAACATAAACTGTGCATGTATTCGACTGATATTGAAATTTGATTTCCTCGAAAACGAAGTCTCCCCACGCAATTTCATTATTTTTGATGTTTCGTCTTATTTCAACCCATAGAACCCAATTTGTACCATGAATTATGAAATACCCTTTATGGTTGTATTTAAATTTAGAACAGCGAACATGAAGTACAATAGTAGAGGCTAAGTATCTGCTAAAACACAAAAACTAAAATGTAAAAGTACAGTCTGAAAAAAATGATTTATGTATTATACCGTAATTAATATTTCATATAACAATTAACAATGCCTTATAATTTCTTATTGATATATTTTCACGTCGATAATGTTACGTTAGAATTGGAAAATGAATGTCATAACTAAACTGCGGATTTGTACGCATTTATGGCACGTACAGATTTTTGAAATGCAAGAGAACGGATAAATTACCAAGGTTTGATAGTATTTTTATTTTATTTTTGCGCTGAGTAATTGTTTAGTCGACAAGCGAAATCTTCCACTAATTTTAAGTTTTGTAAAATGACGTATGCAAATAAGAATTTGCATAAAGACCCGCAGCCTAGTCATAACGTTAACGTTCTTAAGGTACGATTGTAACATTATTTTCGCGTTAACGACCGAGAAATACAAATCGGTTAACGGTCAAAGTTCGCCCGCTCGTTCTTGTCGCAATCCCGTAAAATCCGCGGTCCGCGGCTTTCACCGCACTCGTAAAGCATACGAGTGCGCATCTCGAATGATTTAACGATACGCAAGAGCAAATTCGAGTCACTTGCACTGTCTTGTCTGTGTCACGGAAATCAGCGGCGCAAAGATCAACGGCTCGTGACCGCATGCCCCATTGTTGCCCGTGGCAGGACAGAAGCAGCAATTGTTCGTAACATGGCATTTCGCCGGATACGGGATCCGGCTGTGCACATGCTCCGCCAACTTTCCCGGCGTCTTTTATCATCAAGACGCCCGCAGACTTCTCACGGATTAACGTTGATCAGAGCGGGACAGTCGATAAAGCGTACAAAGGCACGCGGATCAACATTTTTCTGCGTAAACATGAATCATTTCCTCGAATCGATTATACCGACGTCCGTAAGTACAGTCGCTCGCGAAAATATTCGAACACCTTTCGACGCTTTGACTGACATGTCACCCCCGCACGCGAGAGTCGGAATATTTGTACGGATTTGAAAATGAATTTCGACACCAATCTATATTATATTTTTAAATTTTATTAAGATTCGCAAAACGTAAGAATGTTGAACATCTAATCGATGTTGTACGACTTGATTTTTGAAGTTTTATTTGTTTAAATAAGATACTTTAATTCTGAGAACTGTTTGGGATTTCTGACGAGGCTCTCAAAGTGTAATAAATAATTTTTAAGAAATTTTAAGAAGCAATTTTTATTGCAAATTATTATAAGCAAATTGCTACTGGTTGGAATGGTAAATTGTAATTAAAAAATTAGGTTTTCTTAGCATTCTATTTGATTCCAGAACGAAAAATTAACACTAAATCTAACGAACGATATGCGTAATAACTTCCTATCATATTATTTAACTTTCTTATTGTGAAATTATCTCTGTTATACTATAATTTAATATTTATTATAATATAAATTATCTATCGTAACTTTCTCTTAAATAGTTTCAAGAAAGAAGAAAATCAATAACAGTTTATAAATATTTGTCGATCCTAATGAAAACCAGGGATTTATTTATAGCTAACTACAACAGAGTACGTTTTGCAACGCTATCTAATTAACAAGCAATTAACAGATTCGTTAAATCACAACGCGATCGCCTAATTAACAGCATCGAACATTAACATAATCCAATTCAGAGATGTTCATTAAGGCATGGATAATCTTAATAGCCTGTTAAAAATATAGAGAACTTTGAACGTACATATTACTTCACTAGTATTATAAATAGAAAATAATGTTGAAATGATGTAAAATATTGCAAATAAAACAGATTTTGCACCTGGTTGCATTCGAAATTTATGATTTTGTAGATCGTATTCATCTCTTTGCAAATCAAATTACACCTTTCACAGGTATTATTCACCTTTCTACAAATTACATTAGCTCTTTTCCAAATTAAATGAATGGAGATAAAATAATGAAGAATTATTCTTGATATGGTGATCATTATTTAAAAAATAATGAAGATTAATTATTCTTAATGAAATCTCTATTATTTTATAAGCAAATATGTAAATTCACATTAAATTGACAAAGTGAACAAAAGACCAATATTGATTTGTGAAAACTTTAATTTCATTCGTGAAAACGTGAAATTGATTTGAAAAAATAGGTCAATAAAAAACTTGCAGAAAAACGAATAATTAGAAGTACAAAAACATAATTGTAATCTATAAAGGGTTAATTTGAAGTGCAAAAAGAAGAATATGATATATATGTGAAAGGATTAATTTTTACTACAAAACCTATATTGCAACTGATAAACAACATGTAATTTCCGAACGGAGTCAACGAATGAAAAATTCGTTTCGGTCATTTACGAACAACTGCACGATTAGCTAACGCTAACGACAGATTTAATCGACTGCCTCTGAAGTCACGTGCGATCAACCGTCCTTGTTAGCACGACTGTCGTTAGGCTTCACAACGCGTTGAAATATAATCGAAACTATAGAATGAACAGGACCAGTCGATTACTGTCGTTATATGGATTCGCTGTGATGTAATAATGCACATCATGACGATAGAAAAAGCGATTATACGTGACTGCTAAATCGACTTTCTCCGTTCCGATTTATTATATAATCTGATCGACCGTATAGGAAGAAGAAAACAGTGTAAGAACTCCTTCTTATTTTTACTTCTAGAATATGCTGGCAAAGTTTTGTGAGGAAAAACTGGATATTTTGGATATCATAAAATCGACTAAGATCTAGTGTTGGCTGAAATACATTTTATTTATTTATTTATTAATATTTTAAGCCAGATAATTTATTTAGCAAATACGGGATTTATTTAGAGAATAGATGCACACAGGGCCATGTACACATACAGACCCATTCAAATCGATCCAGTCAAATATTTTCGAAACCGTCGATGATGCTAAAAAATGTTTCAAACGAAATTAGAATGTTTTTATGGATCACGTTCATAAAAATACTGAGGCATATGTATATTGCGAAAAATCATTAGTTTAGAAGGTATTTGACAGGATCGATTTAAATGGGTCACCCTATATATGATCGATATTACTTATTATTGTTACTAGTTTCTAAATTCTTACGGAATATTGTTCAAGGAAGTTGTAAATTATCCTGAATCCTTGTTCAACAAATCGTCAGTGAAAATGTGAAATGGATTCCATTAGCATAAAAAACAATGATTAATAATAGAGGAACTGGTCTTGTAAACCTACATCAAGTTTTGAGGAATTATTGTAACGGGAAACGTCTTCAAATCCATGGTCGATTTATTCGCGAACAAAATGTGAACAGAAATGAAATAAATGTACTTTCTCTTTCAGTCATTTTAATAAACCCGAAGTAGTAACAATTTTCTGACATTTCTCTATATTGTCTCCAAAATTATCTATTTCACCTACAGTCCTTACGCGACAAGAAGACACCGTTGTGTTTACATTCCCCCTCTCACTAGCTGCCCCACTGCCGCAACCATTAATCGCTAGCGACCGCTGTCGATCTTCGTCACCGTTTTCAGCCATTAGCGACAGATAGCTGCAGCAGTGGGGCAGCTGGAAAGAGGGAGAACGTAAAGATAAAAGTGCCTTCTCGTCGCGTGAGGACCATACCATGAGTACTTTGCCATAAATGCATAAAATTCGCAATCTACTCATGAATTGTAAAAGTAGGGTTGGAAGAACTTCTGGTAGAGGCTTCAATCTTCAACATAAATTCAAATTCATAACGGTGCGATTCTTTCTTACGAAATTACAACAGTTCAAATATCGACGATTTGTCAAAAATCTGAAGTTCTGTGTGCAAATATTTGTTGACAATGATTGTATCTTCTTCTTATCTGTAAACTCCCTCACAAATAAAGCAAAAGTAAACACAAGTCGAAAACATAAGTTGAGATCAGTTAGCTCTATTGTTATTCTTTTTATCAACGCTAAAATATTATTACTAGACTGCGGATCTTTACGCGAAATAAAAAATTTACGATTACGGTATTATACAATTCTTGTTCCGTCTTCGCTGCTTTGCGTTTCGTTTATCCATTTTTGCTACAAATACATTAAATCTGCAGTCTAATTGTCTAACTGTAGTCACTTAATGTTGAATGTTGTCATCTAGGATAAATTGCAGGACGTATTTAATGTTAGAGGAAACTTGAAGAGATTCTGCATAAAAAAATTCGTAATTGCCAGTGTACTGGGAGCTGTTGTTATCGGAAAAATCCATGGCTCGCGTACCGTACGCAGATGTCATCAAACCGCATAGCCTGAAGATACCTCTACGCTAATTACAAGGGAGTACTTAAGATGGTGGATTGGATGTGTAATTCAACACGAAGCTACATTGTTTCGAGAATCTTACATGCCATAAATGCATCTAAATAGTAATGAGGTTCCATGCGTAATTTAATAACTAACTACGTTATGCGAATGTCTGCAGAATATTCGCATGAAATTCTAAGTTGATAGACAGAGATGTTTCATTTGACAGCGAATCGTATGCAACAGTGTCGTGTTATGAAAGCTAAAATAGGATAT